ATTTATTATTTCTAATTCTAATTCACTACTACTATTAATACTACTTATTCCACCTTCCTTTTCCATTGATTTCAAGTCGGAGGTTACCTGAGTGTCCGTGTCTTCTTTGCTATTGTGTGTCGATGTCGATTCAGTTTCCATTCCATTATTTTCTCCCGCCTCAATTTCTTGAATTTGTTCACTTAAAGTTGCGCTGGTATTATTTTCACATTCGTTATCTCGTTCACTGCCGATGATAGTACTTGATGAAAGAGAACGATCTTGATCTCCACTTCTACACATCTCCTCTTCAACACCTTTTTGTCTTGATCCCAATTTAATAAATGTTTGCATAAGTGAAGCACTTTTCTGATTGACATTTAACTTTTTCGCTCTAATCTTTTTAAATTCTGCCCCCGAAAGCTTTTTTTTGGGTAACATCTGTAATAATAGGTATAAAAAATAAAATGGAAATCAGAATAAAAAAGATACCATACCCTTCTCTATGCCTGCTGGCTGCTGGCCTTGTTGCTCTCTATTTATTAAAACAAGAATCACACTAAATTAAGGTCAGTGAGCTCTTTCGCGTCAATAGACTGCTGAATAGTGAAAATTGAAGAATCAGGATGCACCGTGACTGCGACGTTTACTCGCACAGTCGCACATTATATGAATAAACGTCACCAGCACCAGCGTGTCTGTCGCGTAGATCGGTGCTGCAAGTTTTGCTAAACTTGAGCTTGAATTTCAATACAAACACGTGCAAGTATGCGCTTGGCTGGCGAGTGGCGATGATCTTTTAGGATTGCAGGAAGGGCATTTATTTATGATTTTTGCGCCCCTAGCGGCTTGCGCCTATAGGCATGGGCCTACTCTGCCTATAGGTAGGTACGGCCCTGAGTTATTGATGTGAAGCGAAATTGTTAAAGTTATAGGGTATCAAGATAATATTAGCTAAATATTCTATATCAACATACTTACAAATACAGGCGAAAAACTCACAAGCACCAATAACTTGACCAATATCAGCTGTATGTAAACGCAACTTCGTTATCGTATCTAGAGTGATAAAAACGTGTTCTGTACTTGCCGGGTGTAGCGGTAACTACATTGAGGGCGGTATATTCGCGGATGTTACATTTAACACCTGTTACTTTCTACACCGGTCTCCCCTATAATTGCAATTTTTCAGTAGGTATATAATACTGTAGTTGTATGTGTTGTAGGCACACAATCTTGTTTAAAAAACAATTTTGTTTTAGTACGTTATATACAAAAGGTTTATAACGAGTTTGTACTTGTATCTGATACAAGTTGTTTTAGGTGTCAGTGTCACCTATTTCATTAGAACATTTTGTATTCTTAACCAATTTTTCTCTACACTGAAAAAAGTTACAGGAATTTTCCAATCGCCGTGCTGTAAAAATTGCAGTTTAAATCAGGGAATTAAAAATGTTTTGTGATATGTTATGTAAAATGAAAACGCATATGAGTATTACATGAGATAATACGTAAAAATATATTACTTGGGAAATTTACAGTGTAAATATGTAAATTCCCATAAGTTGACATTAAAATTAAAGTATGGGGTATGTAAAAAAAATAATTACAATGTAAGTATGAAAAACGTCAAACCTATACTGTAAGATTTTGTCCTGAATATGCCCTTGTGTAATATTACTGTCTTGATACTTGAAAACGAAGAACGTGATGTCATATTTATACTTTTGCTGAACTTCAGTTTTTGCGGAGAAGCGAAGTGAACGTCATAGCCTAGTCATTTGGTTATCCTGAACTGAATTGGTGTTTGTTAGTCTGTGTCCTGTAATTAATAGAATAATCTGCGATTCTGAAAAACTGAAGGTAAGTACGTATTTTAATTATGTTTAACTGTAATAATTGTAAATTTAAGTGCAGTAATGTCGAGAAATACGATTTGCATCAGTACTTGCATAGAAATAAAAAGGGCGCGCAATTCTTTTGCATTCGCCATCAGTGCAATAGATTAGCTTTTAAAACATGTTCTGGATTTAGACAACATATCTTTCGACATCACAGACAATTAAACCCCAAAAGTAGTGAAATTAGGGTAAAATGTAACGTTAAAAATTGCATTTTTATTGCTACTAATAAAAAGGAATTGTGTGCTCATATGCGCTCTCACATTAGAGAAAACGTTCCTATAACATGTCCATTTATTTCTTGTGCCAGTTGCAAAACTGTTTACAAAAATGTTCCATCGTTTAAGACCCATGTGATGAGGAAACACTTTGATTTTGCAGGCATTCATAAATTCGGATTTAACGTGACTAACGAAATAGATTGCAACCTACCATCTGGTTCTGAAGAATATGTGCTCGATAGCGAGCAAACTGAAAATGTTAACGATTTACATTCTCTAAACTCAAAAAAAGACTTGGAAGAAATTGGAGTTAAATATTTGGCCGATTTATATCTAACCTTGGAATCAAGTCACTTTCTTTGCCAAAATTCTCTCACAAAAATCATACGAGGTTTTTCTGATTTTGAGAATTTAAATCATGATTACATGTTAGCAAAATTAAGAGAACTCGATAACGAAAGCAGGTTAAATTACGAAAATGTAGCAAGTTTATTGAAAGATAGTTTGTTTGGGGTCGCTCATAATAAAGTGAGCGGTTCTTTGCGGACAACTTACATGCGACACAATTTTTATAAAAAAGAATTTCAGTTTGTAGAACCCCTCAAAATAGATTTAGGCGTAGTCGAAGAAAAAGATGCATTTTTTTACTACGTTCCAATACATGAAACTTTAAAATCACTCTTAAATGACCCAAATGTAAATAGTCAATGCTTTTCTGCGCCGCACGTTTCTTCCGACGGTGTGTATAGAGATTATTATGACGGAATCTGCTGTAAAGATAACACTTTTTTCTCAAGAAATAAACATTCTCTTAAAATAATTTTATATCAAGATTCGTTTGAAATTTGTAATCCTTTGGGCAGTGCTCGCAATAAATATAAAATCACAGGAATTTATATGACCCTTGCAAATTTGTATCCATGGAATAGAACACGAACTGAACAGATACAATTAATTGCTTTGTGTTTTGATAAACATATAAAACATTTTGGTTTTGGTACTATTCTTCGTCCCTTGATCAATGACTTAAAAATTTTGGAAGAAGAAGGGTTAAGAATTAATGAAAATGTAATAGTCAAAGGAAGCATACTTTGTACCGTCGGCGATAATCTAGGGAGTCACCAAATTGGAGGATTTTTGGAAACCTTCAACGTAGAAATGTTTTTTTGTAGGTTTTGTAAAATTCAAAATTTTAATGGGTCAACTTATTTTGGTAATTTGCGTACTGTGCAATCATATGACCATGATGTTAATATGGCTTTAACAATCAATAACCATTTTGAAGGAATTAAGCATAACTCTCCTTTAAATGAATTAAACTATTTTCACGTTGCTCTTCCTGGGTTACCCCCTTGTTTAGCACATGATTTAGTGGAAGGAGTAATCGCCCGTGATTTAATGTTAGCAATTAATTATTTTGTCCAAAAAAAGTACTTCTCCTATGAATACTTAAATTTTAAACTCAGGACGATTAATTTTTTATTTGAAAAGAAACAATCGGTCCCTGTAATTAAAAAAAGCCGATAAGTTATCGGGGACGGCTTCACAATTAATGTATATAAATAATGTTCTACCATTTATCTTGCTTGAAAAAATACCGTTAATTAAATCTAATGAACACGGGAAAGAAATGTGGCAAATGATTTTATGTTTACGAAAAATTTTGAACATAATGTTGGCGGTTGAGGTATCCGAAGACCAAGTTGCGGTTTTGAAAGATCTTCTCCTGGTATACATAGATTTAAGGAAACAGCTTTTTCCTGAAATAAAGCTTACACCAAAACATCATTATATTTTGCACTATCCTCATTTAATTAAAATGTGGGGTCCGCTTAGGTTATTATGGACATTAAGATTTGAAAGTAAGCATAAATATTTTAAAGATGCTTTAGGGCGATCACCGAATTTTAAGAATGTTTTGATGTTTTGAAAGATCTTCTCCTGGTATACATAGATTTAAGGAAACAGCTTTTTCCTGAAATAAAGCTTACACCAAAACATCATTATATTTTGCACTATCCTCATTTAATTAAAATGTGGGGTCCGCTTAGGTTATTATGGACATTAAGATTTGAAAGTAAGCATAAATATTTTAAAGATGCTTTAGGGCGATCACCGAATTTTAAGAATGTTTTGATGTATCTTACAACTAAGCACCAATTCTTACAAGCTCTGAATTCGGAAAATAAAATCCTCTATTGTAATAAAGTTATAGCTGAAAACTTAGAAATTTTCAACCCAGTCAACTATCCTCCCGAGATGTTAAATTTGATATCAAGTAGATATATGTTGAGTACTTTCAGATTTGTAGCCGAAGAAATAACTCATAGGGGTACATTTTATAAAAAAAATATGCTAATTTGTCACGATAAAGATGAATTTGGTATTTTCCATCTGTGCGAAATTAAGTACATTTTAATTACAGAGAGTATGGAAAACTTGTGGTTTGTTGGAAAAAATGTTGAAATTTATTATGATATGAGTACCGGTTTATACGAAGAGCTACAAATCGAACACTCCCGAAGTACTGATGTAGATGTTTGTATATCTTTTGAAGAAATATTATCTTTTGAAACTGTTTTAAAATGTAAATTGAACGAAAAGTACTTGTATTATTTTAAATCGGCACCTTTAGAAAAATTCTAAATCAAAAACTCTAAACTTTAAAATAGTAAATCCTATTATTTAATAATATGCCCCCCTATTTCTTTCTATTATAAATATGATATTTTGTTTGGACCTCACTTCTCACTTACTTGCACTGCTAATCCTAAAATCTCAAGAAACATAACTCTCTAATGCTATGTATTATGCGTTTAAATTTATTTAACGAGCAAAACACAAAGAAGTTGTGCTCACATGTTAAATAAATTTGAATGCCTTTTTGCTCAGAATAACCATGGCGGCGAAAAAGATCTACACCGTATGGTCCCGAGATAGAGAGAGGAAAACTTTAATTTTGATCGATGAAAATGACGTGGATATGTACAAAACCTTAATTTTAAAGGGTAAGATGGCCATAATGCTCGGCTATTATAAATGAACCATGTCTTTCATTACAGCATCCCAAAAGCTACAAGTTGACGGTTCATCGTTAGCTTTGGAATCTAACGGCACGCCAATCGATTCAGAAGTTCTACCGTACCTTAACCAGATGGATATATTGATGTTATTGGAAAAGAGTGAGACCTGGAAATCAACCGATTCATTTTCTGTAGCAACAGGAAGTACGGTAACAATCGCACAATCGGATATCTCAGACTTGCTATTGCAACCATTTCCTGAAGGCGCCATCTTTGAGGAGAGAGAAGTTCACCCAACTCCAACTGAAAAACCTGACTCTACACCTATCGACAATATCGATTTGACCTGCAAAGTAGATTGCAATTCAGAATTTTTATGGACTAATTTTGAAATCCCCTTAGAGAGACTAAATAGTGAACAACTTGAAAACCTTGGAAATGGTGTGAGAAATAAACTCGATATTAAGTTTTTAGTCCAACTAATTGTAAATGACATGAGACTAATTAAGAAGGTCATTCCAATGAAAGCCTTCAAGATTGTGGCTAAAAAACTTATAGATCGATATCCATTGATTTTTAGGGATGTAGATGAAGATGGTGTTGTACTTGGGGATGGAAGCCATTCCTTAGTGAGCAAATTAGTAGAAAGGAACAACTACTTAAACAGGCCACACAAAAGAAAAAGCACCGAAGCACAATCTTCTCCAATCGTTTCAAAAAAACGGGTTTTAAGCGCTAGAGCAGGCTGTGTAAATTGGTCACCTGAGATCGGCCACCATGACAGTGAAAGCATAAGCAAGTTAACTGAGAATGCCGGAACTTCTGATGAGCAATTTGTGCAATTATTAGAAAAAACTTATCCTCAAATAAGAAAAGTGTTAAATGAAGAAGAGCCACCCTTCTCTAAGCTAATGGAAGAGTGGCCATTGCTGTTCTCAAAAAAGGCAATATTTTGGCACTTCAACAAGCTAACGAACTCTGACATCCATTTAATGGACCTCATCACCAGCAAATGCAATAAAATCACATCATTTTTAAAAACCAAGTTGAAAAATGATTTCGACGACACTAATCTCGTAGAAATTCGTACTATCACAAATATTCAGTGGTCGAAGTGAGGCGGTATGGGGCGGTATGGCATACCGTTAGATTTTTTATTTTTGTGAAACATACCGGTAATAATTTTTTTCACATAGGCATACCGGTATGCGGCGCGTGCGACCTCAAAATCTTGTAGTTTTGCAATCTTTTCCGCATTCGATCCGTATTTTGGATTTGTTCTTAGTAATATTAATATGTTTTACCTTTTACAGAATTTTTTGTCGGTATTTCTATTTGTTATTTGAGAAATGCAAAGGGAAAGGTGTTCCTAACGATCGTTATAACGCTCTGGACACTGCGCATTTCTTAGGCGCATACGTAGTACCCACTCCCAAAGCTACTTACGGATTGCTTGTGGTTCTAAAAACTTCAGTGGTCTGCAGTCTGCCATTGTGTACAAACACGCAAAGAAGATTTTGCACTTCTCAGTTTAAGTTATTATTTATTGTACTGCATTGTTGTATTGTTTTTTTATTTTCAAGCTTTTTAACTTTAAGTCACTTTAAATGTGAAAAATGTCCCTCCTTAATTGGCTGAAACGTAAAAAGAACGATAACGATAGTGGTGCTGGTGCTAGTACTGACAACATGGACAGAGACGCTGACGCGGATTATTTTTTGCCTTCCCAATCAGAATCTGATAGTGTTGAACGTGACAATAATAGCGGTGATGAAACTGATGAAAGTGAGAGTGGGGCAAAGAAATTGAAATTTAATAATTTACCCGATGTTCCCGAGTGTTGGACAATAGAAATGTACAATAGAAAATGTGTAGAATATAAATGGCTTGAAACAAAAGAAAAAAAACTAGGTTGTAGTACGTGCAAGAAAATTAAAAATCTCGGCAATGTTCCTAAAAAACAAGGCGTTCAAGTTTCGACTGAGTGGGTTAATTGTAACATCGCGGCGTTTGGAGATTCCACAAAAAAGCAACGTCAATCCCTCAGAAAAAAAATCTTTCATCATAAGACCAGTGAAGCCCACAGATATGCTGAGGAAATTCTGACAGAATCTCACAAAGAAAGATTAAAGACCAGTCTTACTAACCAAAGTACAGACATTTGTGAAAGTACCAATCGTGTATTTACAACAGTTTATAACATCATAAAAAAAGGTAGGCCTTTTACAGATTTAACTTCTGATATAGATATGCAAGTATTAAATGGTTTAAAGATGGGTCGCATTTTACACTCAGATCATGCATGCGCCGACATTGCAAACCATATTGCAACGGAAATGCGAAAAAGAATTGTCAGTCAAATTATCCAAAATGAGTCCAAGATATCTGTTCTAATTGATGAAACTACTTCTGTTAGTAAAAATACAGTACTAGTGGTATGCATCAAAACAACGTTACCACATTCCGAACCTGTAACATTCTTTTTGGATTTAATTGATTTAGAAACCACCACTTCTTCAAACATCTTTAACATGTTGATGCTTTGCTTGGAAAAACATGGGTTTACAAACGATTTTTTGGCTAGAAATTTGGTTTGTTTTGCTTCTGATGGAGCATCAAACATGATTGGAAAAAAATCTGGAGTAGCTACACAGTTAATTAGTCAATATCCAGATTTAGTAGTATGGCACTGTTCTAACCACCGTTTAGAACTAGCAGTCCATGACGTACTGGAGGAAGTTGATGGCATCAATCATTTTAAGATATTTTTCGACAAGTTGTATAGTTTATATAGTGCTTCGCCAAAAAATCAATAGGAATTAAAACGATGTGCGGCAAATTTAGACGTTCAGCTGTATTCTATAGGACGTATACTCGACACACGCTGGGTTTCTTCAAGTTTAAGGTCAGTAAAAGCTGTGTGGAGCAACTACAACGCCCTGTATCAACATTTTGACAACGCTTCCATTGACATGTCAAGGCAAAGTAAGGAAAGATGCACATATTCTGGGTTGAAAGATAGGTTAACTGAAACCGGATTCGTTTATAATTTAGGATTATTGTATGACGCTCTTTCAGAACTTTCGTATTTATCTCTGGAATTACAAAAACGTAACAAAACCCTTCCTGAAGCTCACGCCTTAATTACACGACAGATTCGCGTGGTAGAATCAATGATTGATAATCCAGGAATATACCTTAAACAAGTAGAAACCTCTATAAATGTACTTGAATTTCGTCATGTCAAATTGCACAACGGTAGAAGAGTGACTAAAATAAATAGTGCACAGTTTTATAGAAGCCTGACTAATAATCTGAAGCAACGTTTACTAAGATTTTCTTCTCACCGATCAGGAACGGAACCACAAATTTCCGAAGATTACAATAAATTTGTAAAAACTTTAGAAATATTTGACCGTAACCAGTGGCCCCAAGAACCCAGCATAAGGTACGGAGAAGATGAAATTCGAGTGTTGTGTGAAAAGTTTAAACTATCTGGTCACGACTATGTAAGAAGCTTTCGCGAATATGTAGATTCTGGCATTGTGTCTAAACCGTTAGATTTGCTGATGAAAACTGTTAATACATTAGTTGTTTCAACAGCGGAGTGCGAACGCATATTCAGTGCAATGAACATTATTCATTCGGATTTAAGAAATAAACTAAAAGTAACTACAGTGTCTTCATTGCTATTCATAAAATGTGTTGGTCCACCGCTTCCCCTATTTAAACCTCAAACTTATGTTAAAGCATGGATGTTACTAGGACGCCGTGATGCTGATTATACGAAATGTGCTGCACGTCAGAAGGACCAAGCTCCAAATTTGACAACTGAATATCAACTTCTGTGGGATCACCTTAATTAATTTTGTATTTAGTATTTCTAATCAAATACTGATATGAATGTATTTTTCAAATTTTTTGTTTGTATTTTTATATAAAAATGCATACACACTGTCTAACATTTTATTACTTTAAACCATACCGGTAAAAAATAGTTACCACTTCGACCACTGCAAATATTACGAAATATTTTAAAGAAGATTTACAGAACCTTTTTTTTAAATGCAAGGTAAGAAATTAATAATTCACATGATATATGATTTAAAATCATACTTTGTGTTTTAGGACTTACCTGAAATTACCTTAGAGAGTATTCCCCTATCGCCATATATAATTCAGACTGGGGGTAAGTTTTATTTTTGTGTGCTACATTATATGAGCCGAGCCTACAAGATCAAGGCCTTAGCAAATTTTGGTTGTGTTTGCAGTTTTTGAACAATACTGCACTGTGTCCAAGATAACGAGGGCCACTATGAGTATTTTAGAAACGACAAAAGATAAAAATTTGGTTAAATGGGAAAAAAGTTGCGCAATTAAAAGTATTTATGAGATAGCGTTAAGAAACCCTTGAATTTTTTTTGGTTTTTTAAATACTTTGAAAAAATCGGATTTTGCGATTTTACAAGCTATTTTTTTTCTGGCGTTAATATTTCACCTAGAGCAAAACTAAGGACATTTCACTACAACCATTTTTAACTTTAAGATGGCGTTCTTAATTTTTTAATCCGACGTTTCGTCTTTACGGAACCATCATCAACTTCATTTTTTTAAATACAGACCTGTTCTTTCGATATCATATTCTTAAATCCCTTTTTATTCTGAATTAAATCAGGTATAGTACTTTATGGTTTAATTGCGCTTTAATCTTTTGTTTCGGGCTAAATTCCTATTACGACCTGCACCAATTTTTTAAAAAAATAAATAATTAACTAGGAGGCTAATTAACGTGAGTGAAATAAATAGAAAAAACAAACTCAGAACTAACTAAGAAATCAAATTGAATTAACAGAAAATATAAGAAATAAAATACCACAACGAACAAATTTGAATAAAACGACTAAATTTAGAACATATGTTCCAAAAGACTTTCATTATTTTCTAAACACAGATAGCATCTTCTGCTTCTCATTAAATTCACTTACGTTAATTGCCCTAGCTAATTATTTAAAAAAATTTATAATAGGTACAGGTCTGTAATAGGAATTTTCTTAATTAAACCCGAAAAAAGGCTAATAAAACGTAATTAAACCATAAAGTTTAGTAACTCATTGACATCAGATTAAAAAGGGAATTAAGAAAATGATATTAGAAGATCAGGACCGTATTAAAAAAAATTAAGTTGATGTTGGTTCCGTAAAGACGAAACGTCGGATTAAAAAATTAACACCATCTTAAAGAGCGTTAAAAATTGGCGTAGAGAAGTGTACTTGGTTTTGCTCTAAGTCAAATATTAACGCCAGAAAAGAATAGTTTGTAAAATCCGATTATTTCAAAATATTTCAAAAACCAAAGAAATTTTCAGGGTTTTCTAAACGCTATTTTTTTATACCTTTGATTGCGCAACCATTCTCCCATTTAACCAAATTTGTATATTTTACCGTTTCTAAAGTACCCATAGTGGCCCTCCTTATCTTGAACACAGTGTATAGTTAGTCATGCATTTTTTTTCAATGTTGGTGCTTCCATAAACCAAACATAATTAGCATTCTGAAATGGAAAGTTGTTTGCATGGCCATAATAAATGCTAAAATATTTCTTTCTATCTGTAATCCTTAACTAGCTAATTGTAATGTGGGAATTCCACGCATTGTGAAAATTGCAAATTAGTTATATTTTCATTGGTTATCACATTTCATCACATTACCGACTAGTTTCTGTAAGCAGTCTTCTTTTCAGAAGAAGAAAACATGCTTTACTTCGTGTACCTAGAGAGAGAGTTGGTGCATCACGATGGGTATACCACATTCATAGAAGCTCTTAAAGTGTCATTCTCCTTATTTTTCATTTTAAATTTGAAGTATCCTCGCAATCTATGCGCTACCATGGAGTTGTTGCAGAGGATGATTCTGAAAATACATCCCGACGCTGGGTCAAAATCTAAAAAAGTGTGTGCAACGCGAAAAAAAGTGTTCAATTTTATGAACAGTATTAAAGAAGGTTAATATTAATAGAAATGTCTTCTTTTTAGTTTTAAGGATTTTATTAGAGAGGTTTTTTATGTTTCTGTTACTAATAAGAAAAATATACACTATTCACTATTCTTAACTTTTTGCTTTTATTTTATTTTTTGGCGTGCAAGGTTTCTAACGAGGATTCCAATGTTACCTAACATGATCTTGAAGACATATCCAAAGTATTTTGGGAGTTGTTAAACGTGTACAGGGTTTTCATTTTTATTTTGACACCCACCTACAGAGTTTATTAAAAGAGATAGGCAAAAATTGTTTATACAAAAGTTGCGTGTTTTTTTCTGTAATATATTTTCAACATATCAACAAAAAACAAATGAGCATCGTAATGTTAAAAAAAAGAACAAATTCCCTTAAATGGAACACTATATTTTTACTCAGGGTGAAATCCCTTTTCATCCTGATTCCAAAAATGTATAGTTTGCCGGTATTTCATTCGGCCTTTTTTTTTAAATATTTGAAGTTTATTATTCAAAAAATGCAGCAAGAGTTTTTGAAACACTGTCATGCATTGGAATGGGAAAAATTTGTTATATACTGAGATAATATATTGTTAAAAATTGTTATAGAATGTAAAAATTAATAATTCGAAAATTTATAAAAATAATAGTAATAATCCATAGCAATGTTGATTATTAAGTTCTATTTTTGAATAATAAACTTAAATTATTTAAAAAACGGCTGAATAAAATACTGGCAAACATATTTTTGGAATCAGGATGAAACGGGTTTTCAGCCTGAGTAAAAATATACAAGGTGTTCCATTAAGTAAACAAAATAAAGTTAATTAAGCTTGGCGATGGTCATTTGTTGTTATTGATGTGTTCAAAAGAAAATATAGAAAAAAACACACAACTTTTGTACAAAATATTTTGCCTATCTGTTTTAATAAACTCCGTAGGTGGATGTCAAAATATATATGAAAAATAAACAAAAATAGGTAGGTACCATGTAAAAAGGGAAACTAAAGGTAGAATTCGTCTTGACAAGTACAGACGAGCGGACGGACAAATGTAATTTTCACATTTCTGAAATGGAAAATTACATTATAAGGCGAGCCTATGCGCACTAATGATTACTGAAATATAACATATTAAAATATGGACTTGCTGAAATTCCGTTATATGTTACACTTTTTTCATCAACTTAGTATGTGATATTCCATAAACTATACGTAACATACTAGGAAGATACTGTAATAAAACACAACTAATAGGAACAGGAAACCTAAAAAAAGTATGGATTGCCTTGTAACATGCTCTGGAAAATTAAATAGTAAATTTCCCATATTATGGTAAAATACAGTATAAAGTCTTGCTTTTTTGCAGTTAAAGAATGGAGAATCACTTTATGAAATGGGTTAATTTACAAGTTCCTCGTGTTATGCAAGAATAAAAATTGGAACTTACCTAAATCTATCATGAATTCATCTGTGAATATTAATGGTAAATTACGGTAGATGTTACAGTAAAATTTATTTACAAATCGTTAGGTATTTTCACAGAACTTTACGTTGGTTATAAATAGCCAACGTAAAGTTGTGGAATATTACATAAACTTTTTTTACCGTGTATGACTTACTAACGGATTTTTTCAGTGTGTGTGATTGAAGTCTACCTGCTCCTGTGTTCTTCACTATGCCTTCACAAACAAGACATTTTGCAGCAGGTCGTCCCTTATCTTTTATTAATTGAAATTTTAAACGTTCAAAGTTAATGTTTGGCCTTCGACCACGGTTACTCATTATTATCTCTGTAATATTCAAATTATTCACAAATCTTGAT